CATTCCTCACCTACTTCTCTAACAGCAAAAAAGGCGGTCTCCTTTCATTTTGATTTGGTTTCTAATCAACCTGACCCTTAAATGCTTGGATGTAATATCTTCATTATTTTTAGTTTCCAAAGAGAACAGTCAGTATGGGAAGGAGCCAGATGCAGGAGGAGTGAGGGAGGGAAGAGCTAGGACTGCTGAGAAGTTGTGCCCTGTCTGCAGCACCCAAGATATGTAGGTTCCCACTAAGCTAGCTCTTCCAGGCCCACGTTCATTAACAAATACAACAACAACACGTGCCCTACATTAATCATTAAGTTTTGAGACCCTGTGTGTTACCAGACCCTACAGGAATGAGTCAGGCAGGAATTCTTGCTTTATCTATCACACTAAAAAAATGCAGGCTCACAGAGTAAGTTCCTTTTCCAAGGTCTCATTGACAGTCAGTGATTTGAACTCTGGTAGCCACTCCAGAATCTGTGCTTCAACATCCCAGGACTGCTCTGGATTAAGAAATGTCACTGTTCAGTCCAAATCCACACCTTCATTTAGAACTTTACCTTCCTACCCCCTTAGACACTCACTTTTTAATTAATACTAACATAGGATTCAGTATGCAACACAATGATTTTAAGAGCAGTATAAATTTTATCATATATTTAATCTTCCTAATGACCTTAATGACCAATACATTGTGTTTGTTTGTTTGTTTTAATGCTGCCATTTTATGGAAAACAAACTAAGTCAGAGAAATAACTTTTTCTAATGCACAGCTAGGAGAGCAGGGAACACATGAATGTTGTTTAGGATTGTCTTTGAGAAAGTGAAGGGGCAGTCAAATCACTTTGCTTTCTGTCCCTTGATTTCATGAAACACCCACTGTGATGGAAACAGTGAAGTAGGACCTTTCTCAGCTGTGGGACTCTGGCAGCTCTGGGTATACCCTAAAACACCCTGACTACAGCCTCTCTTCCCTGCCAGCCTAGAAACAAAAAATGTTCTTTTATTCTAGATTAAATAAACAAATTCCTGCATTCATAACTGTATCTGGGTCCTATAAAGATCTGTATTGTGATGTTTTGAGAGGGAATCTCATTCTTTGTCTTCTTCTTCCTCTCAAAGTCTCCCATCTTCCAACTGCAACAGCTCCCAGGATTTACTACAAATGTCCTCCTCAAGGTCACAGAGCACATTTATTTCTCTTTTTCTGAGAGGCCTTCCCTGACCATCCTCTGTTTGAATGCAGCCCCTGTGCTCCCTTTCTCAGTTCCTGTTTGATTTCTCCTGAGCACTTTCCATCATCTAATACACATACCACACATGCTGCTTATTTGTTTTTTGTATTGTCTGACTCTTCCCATTAGTATAGAGCTCCACGAAGCAGGAATTGGTATCCATTTTGTTGGCCGCTTGATACTGAGCACTTAGAACAGTGCCCAGCACATGGTAGGTGCTCAGAGAATGTATGCAGTTAATGAGAAACCAATCACTCTGGAACTCCACGTATCTTCTCTGGCCACTTCTCATCTCCTGCATATCCCATTCTGTCTCTACTTACCCCCATATGTTCATATTCTCAAAGCTCCATCATCAGGGTTTTGTTTTGCTGGTGATGTTTTATTTCTTGATATGGACAGTGATTACACAGAGGAGCACTTTATGTTTATTAACTTTGTATATGTGTATGTTTTGTGCACTCTTCTGTGTTATAGTTTACATATTGGAAAAGACTAGATACAGAAAAGAGGGTATAATTTAGCAAAGTTTTGCTTAGCAATGAAAAAAACTGGACGGTAGAACAAGTGAGAGATGGCATATATAGAATATACTGCTGTCTGTTGTTCCTTCCATCCCTTTTTAAAAACAGGACATGTTGAACAATATTTGTGTCCTAGTTGAAAAGGTCCTTAAGTTTAGGGCAAAAGTAATGAGAGAGAAGGGAATAATTGTTGGAGCTGAGCTCCTCAGCAGAAAGAGTGGATGGGATCAAGAATAATGGGTGGATCTTTGGATTAAGTTGGGGAACCCCTTGTTACTGGCTCAAAGAGTGGGATTTTGTGGAACAGCGGGGTTTAGGATATTTATTTGGTGGTGGCTGTTAGAACCTTTTTCAGTGGAAGAAGTTAGGCTTTTTTTTAAGATGACCCTGAAGGAGGCATGATCAGTCTGTGATATCATAGTCTCCCAGCTAATGGCCCCCGCCCCAGAACAACACTCACCATGGTTCTGTCCTGCCAGGCGGTTCATCAGGTAGGATTTTCCTGTCCGATACAGACCTGCGATGGCCACCACCACCACAGGCTGAGAGATCTTGTCTAGAATCTCCAGTGCTGTTGGATTTACTGTCAGCTGATTATTCTGATTTTCCACCAGACAGATGGGGTCCATCATGGTGTTTCCAGAGGCCATAGTGAGCTGTAACCCAGAGCAACAACTCAGTACAACACAAGGTCCAGAAGTCATATCTAATGGTTACATTAAGTCACATGCTTGTCAGCTCTCTACCAGTATGTGTACAACTTATAAGTCAGATTCCTACATTTTGTATGTTTCTAAAAGATACATATTTAGCCTAGTGTGCAAGGCCTGGAAAATATTCCTTATGTACATTATCATATTGATCTTTAAACAAACCCTAATACACCCTTGCCCATGTGATGCTTAAAAGGAATAGAATGAGCAAAACAAAATCCTGATGATGGAGCTTTGAGAATATGAACATATGGGGGTAAGTAGAGACAGAATGGGATATGCAGGAGATGAGAAGTGGCCAGAGAAGATACGTGGAGTTCCAGAGTGATTGGTTTCTCATTAACTGCATACATTCTCTGAGCACCTACCATGTGCTGGGCACTGTTCTAAGTGCTCAGTATCAAGCGGCCAACAGATGTACCCTCTGACACCTCACTAGAGCTCACCAATGTTTTGATTTTCATGGAGCATGCTTTCACTCTTCCTTTTAAAAGTGGTTTTACAAGCTGTGTATGCATTTGTAAGAATAGCTTAAATATTATATAAAGGAAAGTCCATTCAGGTATCCTTTGGAACCTTGCTTCTTTTGCTCAACAGAAAATTTAAGTTTTATCAAGTTTGTTATATGTATCTGTAATTTATTTATTTTCACTATTTTATAGTATGCTATTGTGAGAAGACACTATAATTTATTTATCCAGTTTTTGTTGATGAACATTGGTTTTGTTTCTAGTTTTTTTTTTTACTTTTTTGAATGATGCTGATATGAACCTCCTCAATTGTATATCCTGGTGCACAAATACACAAACTTACCTTGTGTGACAGACCCAGAAATAAAATTGCTCAGTCATGGAGTATATATGTTGTCAGCCTTTCTAGATATTTTCAAACAGCTTTTCAAACTTTATATGCAATGCATATGTCTATTAGCAGTAATTGAGACTTCTCCACCATGTCATAAAAATTTGGTAAAGGACGTTTAAAATTTGATTATCTGGTGACTTATATAGGTGCATATATTTTCCTTATTATAAAAAAGTTTGAGCATCTTTTCACATATTAATTTACTCTTTGCAGTTTCTATTTCTTAAAGTCATTTTTCTTTCTTATTAGGTTGCCCCTTTTGGTTCATACTGATTTTTAGAGTAATCTGCTTATAACTCATTTCTGTACTTCATTTCTCTTTATGAAGACCACACACCATTTTTTAAAAATATATTTTTATTCATTTCAGAGAGGAAGGGAGAGAGGGGAGAGAGATAGAAATATCAATGATTTGAGAGAGTCACTGATTGGCTGCCTCCTGCACGCCCCCTACTGGGGATCGAGCCCACAATGCAGACATTGCCCTTGACTGGAATCAAACCCAGGACTCTTCAGTCCTCAGGTGGATGCTCTATCCACTAAGCCAAACCAGCTAGGGCTACACACCACTTTAATTTTCAAATATCTTCCTCTGTGTCTCATAAGCTCAGCACCATTTTGGGTTAAACCTCAATACACTGAACTCCAGTGATTCCTAGAAATATCTCTCATTGTCTTTCTCTCACTGTGTCTCTTTCTTTTTGTCTCACTCCTCGCCCTTTTCTTTTTTCTCCCTCTCTCCTTTTTGCTTTACAATCTTTCCCATTTATTTCTCCTTTCCCCCCCCCCCATTTGTTTCTAACAAAACATTTTGTCTTGGTCTTTCCTATAGAGAAATTCTAGACCAATCATCAGGGGATAACACTTCCCCATTGGAGAAAACATTGGACTATGGCAGATGTTAAAAATGTTGAACTATTAAACAAGATATATCAGGCACAGGTTCTTGGATATACCAATTGCATGCTCTCCACCTATTGGTTTAAGCCTTTTGAAAGAGGAGCTAGCACCTTTCACAGTTATTTTCTGCCTCCACTTCCATTATATCCCCACCTGAGGCAGGCGGGAAACAAAACAAAACATCATTTCCTTGAAAAGGAGAAAAGAAATAAGAAAAATACAGGAATAAAAGGGAAGGAAAATCCAACAAAGCTAATTATCAATCTATGTCCTAGCAGGAACACAAGAACCTCTCTAGGGGTAACTGAAGAATGTTTAATAGAGAGACTCATATAAGGTCATAAGCAGGTCACAGAGAACTAATTAGAGATGAGGAAGCACCGAGAGGGTGGCAAAAGCAATAGCCAGGAAACTGTAGTCACTCCTATAGCCTGAACAGCCAAGCAAAGAGTGAAACCAGAATGTGGCAAAGACCAGCACTTGTGGATGGAGCTAAATGAAAGGGCTGTGACCCACTGAGAGGAACAGAGGCACTAGGACACCATGGCTCACTAAGGGGAAGCCAGGAGAACACATGCCGGACTTCTAGTCTCGTGCTGGTGCCTCACTCTGGTGGAACTCTACCGGAACCTGAAGGACAAGGGAACTCATCAATGTCAGAAAAAAATATAAAGGTCAATAGAGGTTATAGTAATTCTGAAATGTGACATTGCTTGAACCATTGATAGTTTGAAGTGAATAGGGAGCACAGAGTGTTTCTTGAAAAGGTTCTGAACATGTATAAAGGTTGGATAGGCTGTCCTTGCTGAAATAAAAGCAACCTTCCTCCCAGCCTGGCACTCACATTCTGACAAGTTTAACCATTGTAACCTATGGGCAGCCTGGACTATCTGCTCTTACTCTATACTCTTTCTCCTCTAACTTTGCAGGATTCTGTCTGGGCTCCACAGTGCGGTCTGAAACCAAGGGCATCTGGATGTGGTGTGTACCACACCCCTCCAAGCCCAACCACACTCTGGTCCTTCTGGACACTGAGGGCCTGGGCGATGTGGAAAAGGTAAGGCAAAGAGTCTTATTTGTTTTTGATAATTCACATACATTTTAATTTTCAACCTCAATTCATCTTTTATAAAATATTTCTGTAAACTACAGATCCAGTTAAGAATAATGAGGTTAAATTTTGTTTTCTTGAATTTACTTTCTTGGAAACTCAATACTGTCCTTATTAGGTATAGACGTTCTGATTTTTATAGTTGGTTAAAAGGTACAAGATAACAAACACTTATTCTAAATTCTAGGGTTTTGTGTTAACCACTATAGATATGCATGATTGAGGAAAAGGCCCAGAGCCTTGTGAGATAAGAAATATGCAGTGTTATCAGTACCAGATACCATGGATACAAGGAGTGACATTTTTAACCAGCCTTCAGGATACAAAAAATATCCAGGAGGAAGCTATAATTATGGGATCAATGTACTCCACCAGTTAAGGTGTGTGTGATTAATGGGTTTGAAGGTAGGAAACATGAAAATGGCATTTCAGTAGAATAACATCTATATATATAAAGTGGTAATATGCAAATTAGCCAGGCATCACGACTGCTCAGGAGGAGCTGCGTGCGCAGATGGGTGGGAGGGGACTGCGTGCTGCCCCCAGCCCCAGAGGACACACATCAGGGGTCGGGGCATGCTCCAAGTGGCTGAGGCGCTTGACTCGGAGCACACTCTTGGTGGGTGGCAGCAGCAGCCAGAGCAAAGCAGTCCCAATCCCAGATGCCTGGCAGCAGCTGGAGCAAAGCAGCCCGGGTCCCAGGTGCCTGGCAGTGGCAGGAGCAAAGTAGCCCTAGTCCTGGTGGGTGGCAGCAACAGCCAGAGCGAAGCAGCCCGGATTCTGGGTGCCAGAGGGAAGCCGGTGCCAGCAGCCAGGGGAAGGAAGGTCTATTCTTGCTCAAATCTTCATGAATCGGGCCTCTACTATTTAAATAATATTCAAAAACATGGCAGCTACCCCAGATACATACATTAAGGTTTTAGTCCAAGTCTCTGGGCTTTAGAGATGAATTTCTGCCTGACTTCTATAAATTCATGAGCTAGACCAGTGGTCAGCAAACTCATTAGTCAACAGAGCCAAATATCAACAGTACTTCCTCAAAATAGACTAGCCCAGGCCAAAAAACGACTTCTGCACATGGGCCACAAAGTTTCAATCGCACTGTACGCGTGCCCGCATGTGGTATTTTGTGGAAGAGCCACACTCAAGGGGCCAAAGAGCCGCAGTTTGCCGACCAAGGAGCTATAGACCCACCAAAAATATACATAAATGGGATATTTTAATGTATTTTGTCTTTGCTGTGTTATTTGCAGTCAATCTTGTGTCCTTATTTGTATTAGCCAGAGTCTAAAATGATAGTAGCATAGTGGTCTTTGGCTTCATTACTGCAAAAATAATAGGGGGAGGGAGGGAATTAAATTCTGAATTTTAATATTAATTTTTAATTGAATTTATTGGGGTGACATTATATACTCAAAATTATACAGGTTTCAGGTGCATAATTCTACAGCACATTACCTGTATACTATATTGTGAGTTTACCATTTCAAAGTCAAGTGTCTGTCCATCATCATTTATTCCCCCTATACCCTCCTCCAAATTCTCTCAACCCACTCCACTGGCAATCACAACACTGTTCCTGTCCATGAGTTATTTCTCTTTTTTTTTCTTTTTTGCTCAATATCCTCATTTTTCTCAATACACCCCCCCCACACACACACACACACAAACACACACTCCTGTCAGCCTGCTCTCTATCTATGTGTCTGTCTCTATTTTTATATGTTTTTTTTATTGGTTTTTAGAGAGAGAGGAAAGGAGAGGGATGAGAGAGAAACGTCATAGACCGGTTGCCTCCTGCATGACCCCTACTGGGGGATTGAGCCCGCAACCCGGGCATGTGTCCTGATTGGGTATCAAACCAGTGACCTCTTAGTTCCTAGGTCAATGCTCAACCACTGAGCAATACCGACCAAGCAGTCTGTTTCTATTTTGATTGTTAGTTCATTTTGTTCATTAGGTTTCACATAGGAATGAAATCGTGTGCTACTTGTCTTTATCTGGTTGGCTTATTAGCATAATTCAAATTTAAAGTACTCAGTAGTCACCTCAGTGTAAACCCTAGATGATATATTGATTGCTAACACATTATAGTTTACATAAACCTTCTTCTTTTTAGCTAATTACATTTTAAAGGAGCCAAAGCATAACTACTTGTCATCTGACAGAAGCCAAAGTACATACTGTCCTTGGAACTCTAGTGTTTTTAGCAGTATCCAGTTCTATTGAAACATCATTCATGATTTAACCTGTATGTTATGTTCAAACTCATCATCTATTCCTACCACATACATAGCCAATACTTCAATCAAATAAAATAACATGTTATACCTTTGTTTGAATACACTTTATGACTATTCTGATTGGCTTCTCTAGATCCTTCCATCTACATGATCTCTTTCTTTACACAGTTCCACATTCTGCACATTCTTTAAAGCCCAGCTACTTTCAACCTAATAGAATTGTATCTCATTCAGACATAATCCCTTTTTGCCTGAAATCAGAGAGTACATTTTCTGGGTTTTACATTCCCCCTTTGTCTTTTATGTTATAACATTGGGTTGCACTCCTGGCAGAGTTGATCACCTTGGATGCATTTACATGTTACCATGTGTATATGCACCTCCAGGAAGTCATCTCTGGAGGTCAGAGATTGCCCTATGAAACTTTATATCCACAAAACTAAACATGGTATCTGGCATTTTTTAGATGCACAATGAGAAATTAGTGAATTTAATTGAGTAGCATTTGTGTCACTAAGCTCATCATGATCAAGAGAAAGTTGCAAAGAAATCATTATGCACTTATCATTGCATACATCTATGTTCTTGGAACTGTTTTAAACATTTGACACACATGTTTAGTGTCATTCAGTTCTTTTAATTGCTAAAGAACTCAGACCTTGAGAGAAGTCGATGTAAAAATCCAAAAATGAGGTTTAAATTTAGCACTGTCATCACAGTATATGTTATTTGCCCTATTGTTCAGTTGTAATATTGCTGACATAGTGCATGAACAACTGAATGGGTGATTGAACAGTAGGTACCTAATACCCTGCTGTAATACACTTTCTAGGGCGACTCAAAAAACGACTCATGGATCTTTGCCCTGGCTGTGCTTCTGAGCAGCATGTTTGTCTACAACAGCATGAGCACCATCAACCACCAGGCCCTGGAGCAGCTGCAGTATCCTTCCAGGAACCCAACCACCATGTGTCATGGAGGCTATGGGAAAATAGCTGGGACTCTTTTGTTGTTGCTTTTCCTTGTGTCAATATTCATGATTGAGGAAAAAGGGACACAGAGTGAATGGGAATGTTAATAAAAATGATTTCTGGGTGAGATCTGGAAATTTTGGCATGGTGCACTTCTCATTCCTTAGCTAAGATCTCAGCTATGTGACTGAACTAACAAAGCTAATCAGGACAAAGTCATCTCCCAGCTCTGCTGAAGGAGATGACTCAGCCGAGTTTGCAAGTTTCTTTCCAGACTTTGTTTGGACTGTACGGGATTTCACGCTGGAGCTGGAGTTTGATGGACGCACCATCAGTGAAGATGAATACCTGGAGAATGCCTTGAAGTTGGTTCCAGGTACCAGGGGATGGTCTGGGTGGTAGAGGGCTCAATAGGAGGTGAGATTAACTGAGCCCTGTCATTCAGCACTTAAGGTCAATATAATCTTTATTTTTTATTGCACTGAGGCCCATGCTAATGGTATTATGTGTGACAGATGGGTATGGTTTCAATTGTTATTATTACTAAAAATAGTCCAGTGACCAGGATTTAAGCTGGCTGAGGAAAAGGAGAACACAATATTAGACCAAAGATTTTAGGAAATTTGACACCATGAAAAAGTTTTGAGGATAACAACCAGTGCTAAGATTTCCTAAGGCTCAAATACTTGTGTTTCTGATTAAGTTTAGTGTTCCTTTGCTTCTATTTATAGAAAAATGCCCATCACTGTGAATGATGGTTAACTCAGAATCACAAAGTTATCAAGTGACTTCATTTTGTAAATATATTTTATATAGCCTCTTTTAATAGCCTGTATAGTTATATCATATGTATATATGTATATGTTTCCCACAATTTAACATATCCTTCCAGTAAGACTGCCAAATCCTTCATTATCTCATTGTTATAACATCACTCTCTTCATTCCATGGCCTATTATCACGTTCATATAACACATTCATTATACAGAATACATTTAGCCAAGGCGAAAATGAGTGGTACCTAGAAGCATGTCCATTTTTGCTAATTTAATCATTTATTTATTCATTTTAAAATCATTTATTGAACAGTTGATATATGCCCAGAATTACTCTATGTGACATTATCATGATCAATATAATCTGATATAGGGAAGAGGTGAAGTCTCCAAGTGACATTAGGTTAACCTTACTTGTCGATGTTATCTGCTAAAAAGTCTCTGAGCATATTTATATTGTACTAGAGGCCCAGTGCACAAAATTCATGCATGGGGCGGGTGTCCCTCAACCCACCCTGCCCCCTCTCCAATCTGGGACCCTTCGAGGGATGTTCAACTGCCCGTTTAAGCCCGATCCTGGTGGAATCAGGCTTAAACAGGCAGTCGGACATCCCTCTCACAATCCAGGACTGCTGGCTCCCAACCGCTCGCCTGTCTGCCTGCCTGATTTCCCCTAACCACTTCTGCCTGCCACCGGATCACCCCTTAACTACTCCCCCTGCCAGCCTGATTGAAGCCTAACTGCTCTCCTGCTGGCCCAATTGCCCCTAACTGCCCTTCCTTGCAAGCCTGGTCATCCCCAACTGCCCTCCCCTGCAGGCTTGGTCACCCCCAACTGCCCTCCCCTGCAGGCCTGGTCAGCCCTAACTGTCCTCCCCTACAGGCCTGGTCACCCACAACTGTCCTCCCCTGCTGGCCCAGTCACCCCTAACTGCCTCCCTTGCCAGCCTGGTTGCCCTAACTGCCCACTCCTGCCGGCCTAGTCATCCCCAATTGCCTTCCCCTTAAGGCCTGGTCCCTCCCAACTGCCCTCCCCTGCAGGCCTGGACACCCATAACTACCATCCCCTGCAGGTTTGGGTCCCCCCCAACTGCCCTCCTCTGCAGGCCTGATCACCCATAATTGCCCTCCCCTGCTGGCCATCTTGTGTCCACATGGGGGTAGCCATCTTTGACCACATGGGGGTGGCCATCTTGTGTGTTGGAGTGATGGTCAATTTACATATTACTCTTTCATTAGATAGGCTTTTTTCCTCATTCAAATCCATTTATTGGAGATTTTCTGAACATTTGTGTGATCAAAGATTCCCTTGCAAACCATATAAATTCTCCCCAAGCAAATTTGTAATGCACACTCATTCTCTCTCTTCCTCTTTCTCTCTCCCCTCCCCCTCTCTCTCATATGCACACATCATGGAGTTTATGGGAGCACATAATTTTATCTGTCAATACCAAGTTAGGAATTTCTGCTTTAGTTTTTCTAATCTTTATTGTTGAAAGTATTACAGATGTCCTGTTTGTTTTTGTTTGTTTGTTTTTGCCATTGACCCCCTCCACCCCACACCCACCCCTCTATTGCCTTCACCACTCTATTTTCTGTGTCCATGGGCTATACATATGTGCATGTATGTAAATTCCCTGGTTAATCTCTCCCCACCCAAGCCCCACCCCAATTGTGTGTATTTTTTACTCTGATTATTAGAAGTTGTTCTTATTATTGTCTGTCCTCATCATCATATTTTTCCTAGAAACATAATAAATTTCATATATCTACCAGGAAATATTTTACTCTTACTTTAGAGCCCACATTATATTTCTGACATGAGGACTATAATATCAAGAGTATTTCTGAAAATTTTGGGGATTAACCTATCATTCAAAAATATATAATAAATAGTCAAGCCATTGGAAATCATGGAAAGACTAAGAAAAACAATCATAAGTTTCTTCAGATGGAATAACTACTTCCTCTTCTTCCTCAGAAGTACTTCTTTTACTCCTGGTTCTGGATGGACACACACACACACACACACGCACACACTCACAAATCTGTGTTTGGGGAAGATTATCATTATGTTGATTTTGATGATTAAATAGAAGATATGCAAGCACCATGGAAATGAACGTTCTTTTCTGAAGACTATCTCACCAATAACCGTTCTTTTTTCTTCTCTACAGGGGAGGATCCCAAAATCCAGCAAGCCAACATCCCAAGAAAGTATATCAGGAAATTCTTTCCAAAGCGAAAGTGCTTTACCTTTGACCGGCCTACAACTGACAAAAAATTATTACACCGTATGGATGGGGTGTCAGAAAACCAACTAGAGTGCAGTTTCCAGGAGAAATTCAAAAATTTCTGTAACTATATCTTCACAGAAGCAAAAACCAAGGCTCTCAGAGAGGGAATCATTGTCACTGGAAATCGTGAGTCTCCTTTGTTACAGCATGTTTCTCTGCAGTTCATTGTGTGTGATTGTACTTAGGGTTTTCAGCAGTTTTGTTCCCTTCTCTATGTGATGTGAAAAGGCATAGATATATGCCACACATAAAAATGCATGTTTTTTCATAAAAGTTTCCCAATATGAAGGATTGTTGAAACCTACTGTGTCTCATGAAACTAATACACTAATGACATAAGCACATGCTGCTGTTAAGGAGAGGAATCTGCATGATGATGAGAAAGCCAATGAGATGAGTGTGTCTTGTTGAGGATACACAAGATATTTTGAGAATTTACACCAGATAGAAAAAGTGTATAGCAGAACATAAGGCTCTGAATGCTCATTAGAGTTTGAGAAGAAAAGTTAACTATAGCCTTATGTGCAGGACTAGTTTCACAGATATTCCACCTGGGCAGACATACAAATATTAAACCAAATATAGGGCTTAGATTCCTGGAATTCTTGAGGATTTTTTAAAATAAATTTTCATTGGAAAAATTTTCCCACAAATAATCTATTAACCTATAAAATAAACTCTCTTTAATTTTATTTCAATTGGGAAATGTATCTAGGAGACTCTTGAAAATATTGGCTGAGATCTTTAAGTTTATGTTATCCTGTGATAAATGTGAGAACCATAAAAGGGAAAGTGTATAGGAGACATAGTGACGTTATTATAAAGAAGTGGATTTGTGGAAGAAAAAGGAAGAGGAAACAAGGAAGAAGATAAGGAGGAAAAGAAAAAGAGAAGCCAGAAATTTTCATTTCAATAAAATTTTTGTTACTGTTAGAATGCTGATCTCTAAAGTTTGTAAAGCATGAGTGAGGACTTCCTGTCCATTTCCTGAATATCATGTATCATTCAGGGCTAGGGATTCTGGGAAAGGCCTATGTGGATGCCATCAATGGTGGAGCAGTGCCTTGTTTGGAAAATGCAGTGACAACTCTGGCTGAGCGTGAAAACTCAGCAGCCATGCAGAAGGCAGCTGACCACTATAGCGAGCAGATGGCCCAGAGAGTGAGCTTCCCCACAGACACAATGCAGGAGCTGCTGGACCTGCACGCAGTTTGTGAGAAGGAAGCCCTTGAGATCTTCATGGAGCGCTCCATTATGGATGAAAAGCAGGGGTTCCAGGAAAAACTTACGGTAATATGCCTTAGCATATATCTTCCTCATTCCTGTTCTTCTGGATTGATGCCCAGATAGTCCTTTTTTGACCCATAGTTCATGAATTTTCCATTGTAAAAGAGCTTAAATTCATGTGATTGACTATAGTCTATAGTGGTCTATAGACTAACATTTATTCTTTATCTGAACAATTGGCTCCTTATTTCTATTATGGCAAAACAAATTAATGTGTGCTTATTAGCAGTTTGCAAAAAGCACATATTTTTTAAAATATATTTTATTGATTTATTACAGAGAGGAAGAGAGAGAGATAGAGAGTTAGAAACATCGATGAGAGAGAAACATCGATCAGCCTCCTCCATAACACCTCCCACTGGGGATGTGCCCACAACCAAGGTACATGCCCTTGACCGGAATTGAACCTGGGACCTTTCAGTCAGGCCAACACTCTATCCACTGAGCCAAACCAGTTATAGCAAAACCACATTTATTAGTTCACAATTCTTCAGTTGAGTTCCTGTCACAAGATGTATGGGTGCTCTGCTCTGAGTATCAAAAGCGGAAAACAAGATGGAAATGTTGTACACCTGAAACTAACATATCATAAGGAGGTTCATGGGAACTGCTTGTACATATTCAAAGCAGCAATAGTGCATTGTATCCTTATCTTGTTTCTAATATCTTTGACTACAACTCTCTGCCACCAACTGGAGAAAACTTCTTTTAAAGAGCTGATGTATTTAGGTATGCACACTTGAGTAATCTCCACTTCTTAATGTCAACCTGTGCCATATAATAATCTAATCATGGATCAATATTCAGTATATTCACAGCCCTAGGGACTGTAGTGTATGGAAACCAGGATAGAGAACTCTTGAGGACAACATAATTCTATTTAACATAAGCACATTCATCTTGTCTTTGAATTTGTCATTGAGCATCCTATAAGTTACAACACTCTCACTTCACACCCTAGTCAGTTTGGCTCAGTGGATAGAGCATTCGTCCATGGACTGAAGGGTCCCAGGTTTGATTCCCAATCAATGTATCGCTCTCACATTGATGTTTCTCTCTGTCTCTTCCCCCTCCTTCCAATCTCTTTTTAAAAAATCAATGGGAAAATATCCTTGGGTGACGATTAAAAACAAACAAACAAACAAAAAAACAAATAAAACCTCTCACTTCATAAGAAGAAAACCAACAGGATTGTAATTTTTCAAGTATATAAAAAAAATTACTGTTTCTATAATTTTGCACAATTAAACCCTCATTGAAATAATTCATGAGGAGTTCAAAACTCTGTTCAGTGACCACTTACTTCATTAGTGTACAGTTTATTTAATGTGTATGTATTTTTACATATAGCAATCCAAATTTGAAGAGGAAAGACTACTTCCAGTCATATTGAATTTTCCATTTCTCATTGTCAATGGATGGACCTCTGTCAATACTATGACTGATAAAGAAACCGTTGATAATACTGGATTGCATATTTGGAATTGGCTAACAGAGTCTAACTTAAAACTTCTCATGAAATAAAAATAATTTTAGTTACTACATAAGGTGACAGATAATAACTAGACACTGGGGTGATCATTTTGCAATGTATGCAAACATCAAATCATTATGTTGTACATCTGAAATTAATATAATGTAATATCTCAATTATAACTCAATTTAAAAAATAAAGGAACCATGGAGTTTGTGTCTACAAACCTCCTCATCATTTCACAAATTTTCATCCTGAATGCAAGAGAATTAAGGAAATTCCCACAGGTCACCCAAAGAATTGATCTTAACTGAGACTAAATTAGCTTCTTGATGCTGCTCTGTGATTCCATTCTCCAGACCACCTGTTTCTTCCAAGAGGATCAGAGTGGGGTCTTCCCTTCTAAGAGCCTCTTTTCTTTGTACTTCTCAATATTCCCTGGCAGGACATCATAGAGAAAAAGAAGGAGTATTTCTTGCTGCAGAATGAAGATGCATCTGGAAAATATTGCCAGGCTCAGCTTAAGCAGCTTTCAGAATCCCTGATGGAAAGTATTTCAAGAGGAATGTTCTCTGTGCCTAATGGATACAAGCTCTACTTAGAAGCAATAGACAAACTTGAACAGTCCTATAACATGGTGCCCAGGAAAGGAGTGAAGGTGAGCAATAAAAAGAGGGCGGAAGACCAACAGAGGAGGTCACAGAGTCTTTGTGCATTCTTTTAAAAATCTACGATCATAGGGCCATTTGTGAAGAGAGAGCAAAGCATGGTGATATCTGTACATCTTTATCTTCTATATCCACAATTACTTAAATACCCAAATAAATAAGAAGTCATTTTCCCATATATAAGATTTATTATCAGGAATGTAGATAAAAGAGAACATGCCTTTCTTTATGAAACAATGTAATAGTTTTGCACTGTGTATAACAGATACATAATTTAAAAAACAATATTCTCAAGAAGCTTAGGATATTACCTAAAAAGGAAATATAAATAGTCAATTGGATGTGGGGGATAATGGCTATCTTACAGGAATACACTAATAGTGATAAAAATGCTGTTGATGATGGCAAGTATATATTGAGCACACACTTTTTAAACCAAGTATATTCTTAGGGGCTCTGTTTTGATTATCAATTCAGTCTTCAGAATAGTATGATTTTAGGTACTACTGTCATCCCTATCATACAATTGAGAAATGATATGCACTGAGAAGCTAATAAGTGACCCAAGAACACACAGCCGTTAAGTGGTGAAGGTGGCAGGTAGGTATATGTATGTAGCATCCAGTCAAATCTCAAGGAAGTTTAGCAAAGCTTCCTGGAAGAGGCAGTAGAAGCTACAAGTTGAAGTATCAATAGATGCTATGAGTGAAGAAAGGGTAGATGAGAATCCAGTCAGAAGAAAAATAATGTGCAAATACTGGGAACAGTTGAAGAGGAGTGTTTGTAGAACTGCACATAATTCTGGTTGTCTATAACCTGAGGTGGGTGGTGGCTGACATTAGGACAGGACTATAGAGCTAGGAAAGAGGTTGCCAAAAAGAGTTTTATTCTAACTAAAGTGATTGGATTTCTTACTGTGGCCATGGAATGAAGGGAACCATTGTGGGATCCTAAGGAAGATGACCACTTTACAGGGTCAATTTTTCAGTTTTGTTGAACAATAATTTCCCAGCTAGAAGAGTCTATGCTCCTTGTTTCCTCAGGCAATGGAGGTCTTCCAGAACTTCAAGCAGTCACAGGCTGCAACAAAGGAATCCATCCTGCAGGCTGACAAGGCCCTCACTGCTGGGGATAAGGCACTAGCAGGTACAGGGCAGGGCTGTGATCACAGTGGGAAGGTGCTGGGGTCCAACCCCAGCAG